CAAACTTAATAGACTTTTTTTTTACCTATTAAGAGCTTGGCATGGGTTGTATCACCTGTCAGAACCCGTAGCCATGTCTAAACCACAGACACAGAGCTGCCCTGGATCTGTGACCTTAGCAGACAAAATAATAGGACACAGAATATTATAAGACTCCCAAGGAAAGAACTTTAAAGACAGTGTTCACTTTGCTTTGTGGTATTTTACAGAAGACAATTAAACATTAAGAATAAGTTGGAACTTAAATAAAATGCTTAAGAGTAAAGCAGATTTCTCATCTTCCAAAGGCCAAGAAAAGCTGTGCCTAAGAAACAATTATCAGATGATATTATGACTGGATTAATGATGTTTCACATTCACTATATTTATAAAAAAAAAGTGAAGGGAAAGAATAGGAATATAAGGAGCACATAAGTGTTTTCTATAAATCTTAAAAGCTAAAAGAAAACATTTTTAAGAAAATGAAGGTTATAATAGTATAGTTATTTATAAGTCCCTAATGTCCCCCAAAAAACCAGTGCTACAACTTAGGAAAATTTAATACAGTTTGTTAACATGAGAAAACTGTATGTGTGTGCACATGTGTACCAATGTGCACACATGTGTAGCTCACTGTGCAACAGAAAGAGCAAGAGAAGAAAAGTGTGGTAAAGAGGTTCATCTCAATGCTCTGTGTTCTGCCAAGTATGTTAAGCCATTCTTATTTTAGACAATTGTTTTTGTAATAGATATACTAAAGGTGATCATTTTATTTTATTGCTAGTCATTGCTGACTGAGATATTGTGTCAGATGAAAGTAATTACCATGACTATATTACTTTTGTAACCTGTTCTGTGTTGGATCACAAGTACTTGTAGTATGAAATTCTGTTACCCTGTTTTAAAAACATCACATGCTGCTATGCTCTGACCTTACTTTCATAAAGAAATGCAATGGTTTTGCTGTTTCTTCTTAATTCTCCCTGGCTCTTTTTATCTTTAAATGTGTATATTTTTGCATCTATACAGTTTACAGGAACACGCTAACCTTGTGTGATGATATAAAGATAACAAACATCGAACACTGTGATAACTAATCTGAGTATTATAAGCAAGGAAATGGAGCAAATCATTTTAGCCAAATACTAATAAAAACAATCTATATCATCTCTAAGAAAGGAAGAAAATACAGAAGAAAAAAATATGAAGTGAAGGTTGATTTCCAAAGCGGCAAAGAGAAAGGCGACCTTGTACGCTTGATTTTCCTCCATAATTAAAATTCTTTCATCCTGCCCTGACACCTCGCAGCCACTATCCTATTTATGTCCGTAAGTTTTCCTTGAGAAACTCACCCAGCTCTCCACAGGCACTGGTCCAGAAGAAGGTGGCGGAGACAACACATTTAAGCAGCACCGTTCCGAGAACAACCTGTTTTCAGTCATACATGCTGGACACAGTGTTCCTTACTTGAATGTTCATCAAAACCTGCGTGACACAAGTTCTCACTCCTCAAGAGACAGACACCTGAGAGTCACATATATTCGATTTTTTTCTTTAATTCATTTCCTTTTTAGTTTTATTTGACCCAGGTTTCCTGGGTCAAACTCCTTAGAAAGCCTGGCTTTTTGGAGTATTGTCAATGTTACTACTAAGGATTCAGAGAGCTGAATTTGCTACCCGAAAAAAGAAAACTCCAAATCCACCAAACAACTAACAGAGAGTTCAGTTCAGTCATTCTAAAGTTCCCCAGTGCTCTCAGGGTGTGTATGATACTCCTAAAGTCTGAGCATGTTGGTAACTGGTGATGAGCAGAATATCTTTGAACCTCTGATATTATCAGAAATAATGTTTAGTAGATGATTCTCTCAGCTCACATATTTTACAAAGTCTGTCTGATTCTATACCAAAATCATATAAAACTAATAACTTCACAACTGATTTAGTCTTCAGAAATTAAGACACTAATTCACCTGAAACTAAACTAAAGTTTCCACAAAATGTGGTCACTAACAGTTGTGGTAACCTCAGCTGAAGGTTCAGAATACCTCACAGCCAGTGTGTGCTTACTTTTCTGTTCCTATAAGGGATGGAGGTTGGAGGCTTGGTGGAAGTGACCAGGACAGTTATTAATAAGGAGACTCTTTGAAGCCGCAGGAGTAGATGAGCTCTATCAAGGGTGTGAAGCCAGGGAGCCACATATGAGGCTAACTGCACAGCGTGTTCTCTCTAGGCAGAAGGGAGAGCGGTGGGGAGGACAGAGGTGGAGCACTGAGGAGCACATTGTGTCAAGGAGGTTGGGGGTCAATCTAAGGGTGCAGCCCGCTGGCCAAGTGCTGGAGACTGGCCAAAGGCATGGCTCCTAGCCGAGCACTGGCTCCAGGGGCCTGCCACAAGGTCCCTTTCAGTAACACAATAAGCAAAGATGCATGATTTCAAGGGGTTTAAGGAATGAATATGAGAACAGTGAACGTAAGGGTCCAGGAGGGCCCACGTCCATTTTCTGTTTGAATGTTGAGGGACAACAAATTTGAGGATATCCAGCTGATCCAGCAGAGCCCAACAAGTTGCATAATTCAAAATGCAAGTTATCTACATTAAAAAAAAAAAAAAACATTAGAAATCTGTTTCTAGCCAATATGGGGTAACTAAAAGTAAAAACAGTATCATACCAAGGCATGGAGTATTTTTACTTGTGACATGCATATGATGGGAAAATTCAGAGAAACAGGCCTTATTATGGCTAACATTCTTAGCAGGGACATTTGAAGTTTCCTAGTTCTTTCAGGTATGATTCCGAAGTCTTACAGGAGAGATCCTATTGCTATTCCTATAATACCCGCAAGGGTAATACATCTGGCCTGGCGCACAATGAATGAAGAGGGGACACATGCTTTCTGACACGTTCCCATCCTCCAACCCCATTTTACTTCCACATCAAATTAATTCTCCAACAGGAGCGTGCCTGAAACACAGAACTTGGAACAAGATTTGGATAAACACATACTTTTAAAAATATAAATGGATTTTTCAATGTATTGTGTCCTAAATAGCTTTATCTGAAGGATGTTAAAGGGCCACCAGCAAACGCAGGATTACCCTACTTTATTCTAGTGACTCCAACTACAAAAGTCATCTTAGGTGTCCAACTTTAACATCTTCCTGAAGGTAAGCATGTATTTCACCCACGTCAGCACTGCTTTCCTGTGAGATATCCAAAGACAATTCCTGTCTGAAGCTGTGGGTCTCCACTAAACATCGTAAGACTGATATGTAAACTGCAGGTCTGCTAGAGTAATCATATCCATTTTTAGTGCCAAAAAATCTAAAGTAACATCTTTATAAAGGATAATTAACTAAGTTAATACAGTAATAAGTGGAATGCACAATAAGAATATGTACTAAAATCTCTGCTTTGTGTAAAGCAGAACTGGTGTTTCAGGAGATTAACAATTATGATCGCCAGTCCTCTTCTGATTCTATAATACTCCACACAATCTTTTTTAAATTACTTTATTAACCTTTCCTCCTAGCACAGAAGTGCCCGATTATAGATAATATTTCAAAATCATCTGAGGTGTAAGTGTGTTTGATTTGCTAGGTAATTATTTGTCTACTTTATTACATTGGCCAAGCATGCAAGCTCCTTGACCAGTTTTATTTCAAGTCCAGTTAAGAACAGGGTCACATCATTTTGTGGATCGCTCCCTTTGGCCCTCAACGTGCATGAGATTTTCATACTGGAGAAGGAGACGGTGCGTGGAAACATAGTACATTTAAAACATGGAGAACTCATTTGCTGCCCTGTCATTAAAGTTTTAAGTCCCTGCGCTTAATGGAAAGAATGTTGTTCACAAGTGAGAGGAAGGTGTTTATTCCCTGCATGACTGGGACACGGGGCATTTAAGTCTGAGCATGCAAATGTCCTCTGATGAAGTCTAAAAGCATATCACTCATTTCTCTCTAGTGGCCTTACCCTGCGTCTCCATAATCCGTCCCTTGTCATTCACACCACCCAGGACAACACTCTGTTTTGATCTGAATCATGAATGCATTTCGGGCAGAAAGAGGTGGGGGGTCACAATGCAAGGCAGAACACAAGCCTTGTCCTTTAAACAGGGATCTGAGGAGAGGACAGAACCACTGAAAAATCACACTAGGTTTTGCAAAAGGAAAGTTTGTTTGTCCCAATTTCACATCGTAGGGCCAAAGGAAAAATGATACTTATTCTGTAAAGACAAAAAAAAAAAAAGTATTAAGATGAAACACGGCACGGGCTCACTGTGGAAGGCCACCACCAGGATAAAAAGCACAAAGCTGGAGGACTCTGTTTATTGTCCACAATCAACAAATCCTGAAATATCCATATGTAGCAGGATTCCAGGGGCTCTGTTGGTAATACAGGATCTGGCTGGTCAGCTCAGTCACCCATGGAATTACAGTGTAGGGTATGGATGCCAGTATTTTAGACCCAAACCGAGCATAAAAAACACAAAGTAAAATTCAATGTCAGCACAAAGTTGACAGCGAATGATTATAACAGCTTCGAAGCTTGAAAAAGAGTGTAAATAACTAGGATCCCCTGCGGGCTCACTCAGGCTGCATACATAACAACTGTGATGGACAGTCTCTGTGGTAAAGTCAGATCCAGGCACTGGAAAGATGCAAAAATCTACTAGCAAAGAGCCGTAACTGTCACCTTTCTGACTAAATCAGCTACTTTCATATGGAGAGAGAAACAGTGCCATAGGTCCACCTTTGGAAGGCCAGTTGCCTTTTGCCTGGAAGCAGGAGTGTTAATTATCAACTCTTCTGTGGTTATCAAGGTGCTGCAATCCCACCAGCTTTTGCACTTTGCAAATACTTCTCTTTCAGATCTTTAATCCTTGGTGCTTTTAGTTTGCAAAAGATTGTTATCCAGCGTGACTCTGTTCATTTATAGAATGTAAAAATAAAGAAACCAATCCACTTAAAAATAAATGAACTGTTTCTTCATCCCCAACAGAAGAGTTCACTTACAGGAGTGCTTTGAATGAAATTTAATTTCTTTTTCTTTGTGTATGGGCATACATCTGAGAGTACACAGGCCATACCAGTATCCAATAAAGAATAATTTTCAAGTCCCGGAAGTCCATCATAGCTATAACCTCTCACCTGGTACGACAGACATCATGTTGAATAGGACAGAGTCTCATCAATACTTGTACTTGCAAATTCAAAGGAGAAATGAAGGCAGCTATAACTTCTGCAAACACAGAACATTCCACAAGTTTGTAATTCATTTACATCAGAATTAATCAATTAGCAAATGATTCCTTTCGCCTTTGTTACTTATGCTGCATAAGAATTGCATCTCCAAATGAAATGGCAGGCCACTTATATTGAAACTTTGCCCTTCAAACACATTGGTCTTATTTATCTGAATAGAGCAGATGCTTTGTAGTGCCAGCCCATTGCAACTGGACTGCTTGCCATTAGAACCTGAGTAAGATTTAAGCTAAACAGAAGAGCATAAATATGACACCCTATAGACATTCATGATGATCAACTGTGCTGTATCATTGCCAGCCATTGCTACTTATTCATACAGGAAAAGAGGACTCGCATGCACTTGACATTGCTAAAAGGGGAACTACATAGTTAGTCGAAGGACAGGTGAGGATGACACTCACACTGTTATTTGCTCTACTGTACAACTCTTAAAATGAATTAAATTGCTACAATGTATATCTCCTATTTACAGGCCCAACAATGCTCATTGCTTTCACAACTCCATGTTATCAGGCACCTCTTTGGAAAGCACCTTTTGCTTAGGAAACAGTATATTCACCAGGGCTCTCAGATCACTTACAAGAGGTCCGATAATGGTGGAAATCCCATTAGATCCCACTCTGATGTGAAATTTGGTCCAGTGAAGACATGACATTGTAAGGGTCTCGGGAACATCTTTCATTAAATACAAACGTGAACTATGCCATTGGTTTTTGGTTCCTTGTACAGCTGTCATATGCTGACTCTTTGCATCCTTCTGTAATAAGACTGCTTCCGGGTGGAATGACAGAAAACACTGCTATAGCCAGGGTAGGATTCTAAGAATCTCTAGAAGCAAACAGGAAGGTCCCTACAATCACACAAACAATTCAGCAGCCAAATGAACATAAAGTCTGTTTCTGTTTCCGTTTTAAAGTCAATAATTATGTGTTAAATTACTCCTTGGTGTACAGAACAAAGATGTTGTTGGTCCATTTTTATCAATGAGAAAATGGGTCAGCTATGTAACACTGAACCCCAGGTGTGCACACGGCAGAGAATCTCGTCATCTATTGCTGCCGTCAGGAACTTCTTGAATAAGCTCAGAGCCCTGTATGGTCACTTGCGGGGGATTTAATAATAAAAGAACTACCAGGAAAACTTTCTCTCTATTCTCTTGAGAAAGGATTGAAGGACTAAGATCATTTCAGTGTTCAGAAGAACCATTAAACTTGATAAGTAGGAATATTAGAGAAAGATTATTATGAATGAATGTGCTTTAGGATAAATTTACCCCAACCTTATAGTTCTGTTTATATTTCTAAAAAAGGGGGGGGTCAAATGTGTATAGAAACAATCTCTTGTTAGTCATGCTGAGCAAAGCTGGATCTGTTCACACTCAGGATTCGAAAACCACAACACTGAATCTTGAAGGCATTATTTCTTAGCAAAATTAGCATAACTTGGCACATCAGAGTATTAAAATTTAAAAAAGATTTCAGACTGTCCTACTATCATGAGCAGTCATGTCACAGATTTCTTTTATTGGTTCGGCAGTCTAGGTGTAATTGTATCAATATTTTAATGCTTGATGCATATTGCCTGTGATACATTGCTTGCATAAATAAAAAGCACCAATATTCAATTGCCAATGAAATAATCACACACTCTAGATCTTTATTATATCATGCATTATTTAATTACAATCATCAGAGTTCTTTTGAAGGAAAACAAGATTAAAAAGGTTTTGTTTTATTGGATCTATATATTTGATTTAAACTTTACATGTTAGCTTTACATTAAGAATTTATAAGGCATCAGTTCAAATGGTTGCTATTATAAGAGTTTATTTCTTTTATAATTAGTACAGTACTCTTAAAGCACTCTGACTACCAGAGATAATATTTCAGTATTTTAATGAGCTTTTTAAGTGTAATTGATGTAACAGTCATTGAATTACACATTTCTACCTGAAGAATAATGAAGGAAACATTTTAATGAGAAATTTAATCATTATTAGCAAATGATCTACTAAACTGCCATTTGCTGACATTTAAAAGCTTAATAGCAGAAAACTATTTTCCTACATCTGCATCAACATCAATGACGATTACTTTTCTATGACTCGGATTTCCCACGTTAAATTTCTACCATCACTAATTTATTTATAAATTTGAGAAAACTTTCTTTAACCCACAGTTGTCAGCTCCTTCCAGAAAGTGTGGGGCTTGACACTTAGAGGTATAATTTAAATAAATTAGCCCCTTCCAGCCTTCAGCAGTTTTCAGCATAAAAGGGCTCTTTCTTGTGAGTGTTCATGCTTGCATCAGCTTGATTTTGATGAATGCCCTGTGAATTCCCTGATAGTACCTCAGACAGAGAGATCTCAGACCAACGTCAACAAGGATTCTTAAAGCTCCCTCACTTCAAGCACACATCAGCATTCAGAGGCTGACGGGCAGGTGTAAGAAGAGCCTACTATGCAGCTTTCTTAACTCTGGGGTTGGCTTTTACTGACAAATTTAGTGAAGTTCCATGCCACCAAGAGCACCCTTAGAATTGAAGGGACATTGAAGAGAAATCCATACAATGTGTTTGAGAATATAAAAAGAACTGCAAGAGAACATTAGGTAAGCAAGATTTATGTAACCCTTTGTAGGTCAGAAGGTTATAGGTAAGCTCAGCCTTCTAAGTGCAGCGTTGAGGAGTTGCTTTATTCAAGTCAGCGGGCACACTGGCAGAGATGGCACAGAGGACTTCGCCTGCGCTTTCCACTCACACACAGCAACAGCCTGCCTGGCTGTTTTCAGAAGGACCAGTCATCTCCAGACTATTTAGTGGGATGCCAATACTCTCCTGCGTGTGATTCCTATTATAAAATTAATCAAGTCAGAGGACGGAAAAGGGATTAGGTAGGAACACACTGCTATGAATCCAATGCAGTGAATTCTTATTTTTGGTAAGTTAGAGTTTTGATTTGGAGTCATGGTGTGAGGAGGCAGGAGAGAGGAGGGAGGAAATGCCAGCATGTGACTCATGCCAGTCTCCTGGTGCTCCCTGAAAGTCCTTTGCAGCAGAGAGCTGCTAGGTCTGGCCCAGCTGCCAACTTTTTCCATCTGTGTATTCTCAGCCCTTTATTAATTTTCTCTCTTTCTTAAAGTTCTTGCCCTTTTTTACTTTGCATGCTTTCAAAAAGACTTCAAGAATTTTTTAAAAAATCATTTTATATTTCCTTCCTAAGTGAAGGAGCTTGATTTCATGGCTGACTCTGCGGTACACTGCCAGCACTTTGGTGAGGATGTGCTAGATACCACACCTAGGTACCTCGTGTCCAGTCTCACTGTAACAAGCAAATGATCAAATGATAATTATACTAGTAAATGGCATGTAAGTGATTAGAATATTCAAATCAATGCAGATAAAATATCCTTTCCATGGAAGGATAGAGCTGGGAAGCATTAGCTCTGTTTGTTCCTTTTTTTTTTTTGTTTGTTTGTTTTTTTTGTTAGTTGGTAATGTGATGGAAGATGTAATTGCCCAAAATCCAAGAAACAAGGCTGTTCAAATGTACTGGGATATACTGTAAAGCTTACTTATAAATCACTTCTGATTCTCTAGTGAAAAATCATACTTATAAAAGTTGACTAAAATTGTGAATCTTTTTTTCTAATTACAGTATGAGTTACCTAGAAACATGATCTATAGGTCATATCCCTATGGGATGATGCTAATATCTATCTATCTATCTATCTATCTATCTATTTATTTACAATTCTTTTTATGATTAATTTTCATTTGTTTATAACAGCAATATGTATTCATAGAAATGCTGGACATTTCTGGATTCTTTAAAATTCTTTAAAATTATAATCAAAATTTAAAAAGCATTTTACCTATAGCACCTACATCAAAGGGACCTAAAAACACAACATCAAGGAAAATATAAATGAATATAGGGCTAGAAATATGAAGGATATTTTCAGCGAAGGTGGGGAAGGATTAGCCATCAGAAATTTTTACCAATATAATATCATGATAATGTTATTCAGTTGTGGTATGATGTATTTAGGCATCTGAATTATTATATGTGATTCCTCAAATTTTTAACAACATACAAATTTTTTGATTACAAAAGCATTATATTGATATCTTTCCAATGGAGCAATTTAACTGAACTAGCCTCAGGGTAGGAAGAAAAGTGTAACTTTCTTCAAGATTAAAAAAAATATATAATTATTACTGTAATGTGTAGCCTTGAGCCAATGCAAATACAAATGGAGCATTTTCTAGAATGTGGAGGAACTATGCCTCTTACAAGAAAACCTAATGGAGTGAACCCAGGACAATAAACAGCTACACTCACTCAGTCACACAGTGGTAAAGGGTAACTGCATGAATTGTATGATAGTTGTGGATGTAATTTAATTACTTGAAGAGCACCACCAAATATTCTGATATTCAAAAGTAAACCACTAATCCAAAACAAAAAAGGCATGTAAATGGAAAACAGAGAAAACTAGAACAAGAATTAGTTTAAACGAAAGCTACTATTTGACTAGGACATCAGCATTCTTATAGAAACTTAATGATTGTCTTTTCTTTAATCCTGTGAGCTTTATCCAATTGGGATCCCAAACAAACTAATCCTGTTAGCAAACTGGATATAAACAAATGTTACATTAAAAAGTACTCTTCTACTGGGTTGTTTGATTATACTCTCTGTGATGGTATGAATAGCTATTTTGAAGAAAACAAGACATCATAATAGCTAGTGCTAATTTAATATCACCTTGTTTTGAAGTTCCATCAAGCTGTTGTTCTTCTGACTCCATTGGTTTTATCACGTTGTATCTTACTGGATTTTATTATATGTGATAGTGTAAACAAAATTTTATAGGCAAGGAGATAATATAGGAACCATTGTTTGTTTTCTGTTAGTTGGTTCTAAATACCCTGTAACTTTCATTCTCTTGAGTGGTTTCACACTGTGTTGATATGTTTGATGCTATAGTAGCTGAGATTATACTCAAATACTTCAAGGAAAGACACTATGATAACTACTATTATGTCGAGTTATCTTGTGGTGAAACACTATGTTGCTTAAATTGTTCTGTTCTGACCTGTGTAGTTATGTCCTCTTTTATCTCAATCTCCTTTTTTTAAAAAGTTATTTTTTTAATTAAGGGAAAAAATTTAAAAATAGCAGGATATATTGTAGTAACTTTTTTGATTTCCTATTAACTTGATTTGAAGCCCCGTATTGCTCTCACTGTCTTGTTTTGACTGATTTTACTCTATTCTGTTTTGTTTGATAGTATCAAGTTTGAGAGTATAGGCAACTACTTTGAAGGCAATCAGATTCACTGTGATGCCCATTCTGGTTTGACTATTATCTTCTTTTGAAGTCCTGTAATGTCTCCAATGTTTTGGTTTTATTGGTTTGTTCTGTACTGTTTTGTTCAATTTTATAATACCTGATAATATAGGCAATCCTTTTTAAGGTAGCAAGAGGCATTATGGTAACCATTGTTGATCACTTTGTATTCTGTTTTTACATCATATACTATATGTCCTCCCTTTGTTTTGACTGACTCTGTTTTGTTTTGTCACATTTGGTTTTATTCTCTTACAAAAAAAAGTAATAAGAACTGTGGGAGTAATAAAACCTAAAATGTGTAATTGTTATTGTAAAAAAGAGAAGAAAAGAAAGTGTTCTAAAGGATACAACTGCATGTATGTTTAAGTGTGTAAGACAGATGACCATATTACTAAGTTTTTGTTGGATCATTGAACACAACTGTTTGCAGTCTTACTGTTTGAATGTCCACTTTGTGTGCTTTAATTTTGTAACTTGAACAACTATTTCTAAGACGACAATATGTAATCTATTAACTAGTGATTTCTTACTGTTTATTTTTTTTGAAATTCTGTATTACTTGTACCCTTTTCCTGTTTTGTTTTGTTTTGTTTTCTTCTTTAAATAAAATAAATTTTTTTTTGAAAAGTACTCTTACAAATCGGCCCATCTAAATGTTATGGGAGCATGACATAAAAACCATAGAGAAGGTTAACAATGGTTAATATTCAAGGCAGGGTCATGTTGCTGCCAACATAGATGGTCGGTGATATGTTGTCACCACAGCTGCCAGGCCCTAATCCCGATGTAGAAGATGTTACCAATTATACAAAACCTTATGAAGAAGACCACAAAACACATCCAATGAAAGGGGAAGAGTTTGTGGTATCATTCAAGGAAACATTTTCTGCAACACAGATAATGAATGTATCCAATTAGTTCCCAAGTAAATATTGGAATATTGGTCAACTCAAGCTTTGTATCCATGTTATTAGTGCATCATTCTGGCTGTGACACAATATTTGAATATATACCTACATTTCACATCACACACACACACAATTTTCCTAGATTCCGCAAGCCCCAAAGTACTGAGATAATACCTAAATGCCACTCAGTCTTTGTCTCTAGGAAAGTACTGAGATTCTAGAAGTTGTCCAGCTGCCCCTGTCCTCCTCCACGTGTGGCTACATCATTATCACTGCTACTTGAAATTCATTATTAGCTAATCATTTGTAAGAAGGTACATGGTCTAACTGTGTGTTTAAAGAGTAACAGCATTTCTATTTGAGCTCAAAATGTATTCATCAGGGAATTTAGACATATTTAGGTATGTTTTAAGGACAAGTAGCACAAGTTTCTTCCCAGTATATTTATATGAAAAACTCAGATCCCCTGAAGGAGAAGATGAGATCTGTGATAGTTTCAGTTAGAGCACAGATATATATGCTGGGACACTGAACTACATCAAAAGCAGCATTCATTTTCCAAGGAGAACCACTGGACTCAGATCCTCACATATGCCTCTTTATCCTACGTAGTCACATAGTATTATTTTCGATTTTTTTTTGTAGTTCTTTTTTTTTTTTTTTTTTTTTTTTTTTGGTCTTTTTTCCTTTTTATCGGTACCAGGGATCGAACTCACGACTGCCTGCTTGCAAGGCAGGCACTTATGCCGCTGAGCTAAATCCCCAGCCCCTTTTTTTGGTAATTCTGTCACTACTAACTTTCTCTTTTTTGATCTCCATATACAGCTCTATCTCACTTCCTTTGAATCTTGCTGTAGAATGATTGCAACAGACCAGGACAAGACACAGACTGGTTCCATCAAACCTCACTGACCTATTACAGTCCAAAAATTCAGAACTTTAGGAATTCCAGCAGCTCATGTCTTCACCCTGAACAATACTCACCATCTTCTTATCAAAAGACATGAAGAATCTCAGTATCAGTATTTGTTGATATCAACTTTTGGGGCTGGTTGAAGAGATGAGAGGATCCTGAACAGGTGCTTCTGTGAATACAGTGTTATGCTAAACCTCAGACATGGAGGAGATGGACGCCTTTTGTCAAAAGTCATGAGAATTGTCATTTTTACAGCCACTTGCAGGATACACGGTCATGAGAGCCAGCAGCTGCAGAGAGGAAAATGAAGACATCTTATGTTGTAAGAGGACTAGTTCAAGAAGCATAATGCAAGAGCTCCCTAGAAAGTCCCAGAACCAAACATGTAAGGAAACCTGAAGTGATCATAAAGCATGTATAGAAGCAATCCAGGAAAAGTCTTCCTCTGGACATTTAATGCCTGTGAGTCCTGGGCTATACAGCCTGGAAAAGCAGCATGCTTGGAAATATGGGGAAACACAGTTCTATAACCCTGAAGTTGAAACATTAATTTGAGCCAAAAATAAAAAAGGAATTTTCTTCCCTTTTCTCAAATCTGATGCGCATTTCAATGTTAACATTCTAAAGCCTTTCAAAACACGGTGTGAGGACTTAATAATGTCTTTTGTAATTGTTGAAACTTTATGAAGAATGTTTGGTCCTAGGTTCTGCGGATCAGTCATACAAAATTGAGTCACACATTTAAAAGGCAAATGATCCTGTGTAAAGTCATGGCTGAGAATTTTAAACTGCAGTTGATAAAACACTGACAAAAGTGAAGTGTTGTATATAAGCAGTAAAATTTCTCACTAGATACTCAAAACTTTGTATGTAATCTTTTGAGCCTAAATTTAGTTGTTTTTCTTTGAGATTGAAGTTATTTGCCTGCTGAGGAAAAACTATGGCCATTTGATGGTGTAGCTTTGTATTATAAGAGCCTAGCATAGAAGTGGTCTAAATACAGCTTTAGTAGTAGAATATGCTAGAGTCAGTGATATATAATGTAACTGGCATTGCTGAATGGTTAGAACTATTAGAACTGATCCTCCCAAGCTTTTGGCATTCTTTGTTTCTGCCAAATGGAAATACATATAGGTTACAGAAGCTGAGAAGGCTTCTGATTCATCAGAAATCATCAAAACAAAATTTCAACTTTGAGTGGGTCCCAGAATTTTGTACCTTACAAGAACTAGAAGAATGTTATGTGAACTAGAAGAATGTTAACTTGACTTTGCTTTGGGGTGAATTCAACAACTGCTATAACATATGCTTTGAATTTTTAACCTGGAGAACAGATGGGAAACCAGGAAGAGCCCAGCCAAAACCTGAGTTGAAGTGAGGGAGACAAAGGTAGCTAGAGTACCTAAGACAACAAATCAGAAGGAGGAGGGATGCCCAGAGAAGGAACCTTGGAAACTGGCAGAGGCCATCTTTGAGTATTTAAGCAGAATACTTATTATCACAGGGCTGTGATGGAACTAACGATCAGGGCAAGAAACATCCCTAAATATTATAGAAAATACTACCAGGTGCCTACATAGAACTGAAAAGTGTCTGTTTCTTCTAACAAGAATAGTAAGCCTTAGAATTCATTGTAAATAGTAAATGTAAAATGCCTGCTTCAGTGGGAAATAACTAGCACTGAACCAAATTATTTCCCTGAATTCACTTAAAAATCAAGAAGAACCTTCTGAAATTGAACTTTCCTAGTAACTTTGCCATTTCCCAGAGCAAAATTCAAAAATATTCATGAAATGAATACTACAATACCAGAGATTATAGATTTGTGAAGAATCAAAACTTTAATAAGCAGAAAATCAATTAATTAGAATTGATCCAAAGTAGAAACATATATTAATAATAGGATGGTTTGCATCAAGATGCCCCCAAAGGCTCAAGTGGTCCTGCTAGGGGGCCTTTAAAACATGGCTTAGCCTAGCATTTGTGACTAGTTCATTGTCTAGCACTGGGATTGGCAGTGTGAGTGCTCATCTACCCAGCGGCTTGTAGCTGGCATATAATGTAAAAGAAAGTGGCTTGCTTCCTCCTTTGGTCCTTTTTTGCTCTTGTCACCTTTGGTACCTGCTGCTGCCATGAGCAGCTGCCTTAGAGCCAGCTGAGTATGAACTGAAACCTCCAAAAACTGTAAACTAAATAAACCTTTCACTCTTTCATTTTGGGCATCACATATTTTCTGTCAGCAATGATAGAAAAGAAACCAAGGCAGAATTTGGTACCCAAAGAGTGGGGTCACTGCTGTGACTGTATCTGATCATGTGGTTCAAGATCCTTTTTGAATGGCTTTTGGGAGGAGTCTGGAAAGGTTCAGAGATATTGACTGAAGGAGCCGACTTGGAATGCCTTAGGCTTTTCATTCTGGTTAAAGCTCAGAAGACCAGAAGGCTGATAGAAATCCTGCTCATAAAGAGGAGACTTGGGAGGTTACTGGTGGGAAGAACTGCACTTGTTGTTGGACTGCAGACAATTGTGTGCTATGGCTTGGCAGAAAGTTTGTCTGCATTTTGCTTATGTCCAGAGACTTTGCCTGATACAGAGATTATGGGCAGTGGACTGATTAATCTGGCAGAAGAAATTTCAAGGCAGTCAAATGTTGAGGTGGTGACATGGTTATTGTTGGGGGCTTTTATACAGATTTATGTTGTAGATTAAAAGCAAAGAGAACAGCAGGATGATTTAAAACACTGTGTGTATGACACAGAAAAAAAGCTCTAATAAAGCTGTGGACTGTAAAGATAGAGCTGAGGTCTTAATTGTTGAGAAGGAACAGAAGAATGGAAAAGATGGCCTCAGGGCATTCCTGGAAGCAGTGAGTCTCCACCCTTTGAAGCCACAAAACAGTAAAAGTGAAAGATTTTGCTTTGAAGAGAAAGTTGCAGAGTACCGTGTCCCAGAATAGTGGTGGCCCAGAGAATGTGTTCCTCAGAATCAGGTTCAGAGTGATCTGGGCACTTGACTCCTACAGCCAAGAGAGGAAAGCCTGGCTATTGCTCCAATTGGTAACAGACCTCAGCATCATCTATGTGGTGCTGGTTTTAGGTGCATACAGAAGGCATGAGCTCTGAAGCTAAGGCAGCTTCCATCCCAATTTCAGAAGGCCTGGGAGGCCAGGCAGTGTGCCCCTGAGAGTAAAATGTGTTAGACTGTGAATGTGAAGCTGAAGGTGCAGTGGCCCCAGAAAAGCCTGGAGAGTGGATCATCTAAGGCAAGCTGCAAGGAGGGAGCAAAGCCAGCCCAAGAGAGAAGCCACGGGAGCTACAACCACCGGAAGTGCCAGGGGGTGGAGTCATTCAAGTCCTTTGGAGCTCACAACCAGATTGCTTTAGATGCTGAATGTGAACTCCAGAACTTAATATTTACCTTGCTGGATTTTAGACTTCCTTTAGTCCCATTCTTGGTATCTCCCTATTTGTACACTTTGGAATGGTAATGTTTATGTTGTGCCATTGAATGTTGGGATTATTTAACTTTGTTTTCATTTGTACAGGGGTTGCAGCTAAGAGTTGGTCTTAGATTTCAGAGGAGATTTGGGACTTCGACTTTTCAGCAATGCTGAAACTGTTAGGGCTTTGGTAACTCTTGGAAATGCCTTTCCCATGAAGAATACGCATAAGTATTTTGGGGAGTTAGGAGTGGAACATTATGATTTGCATCTAGATGTCCTCCCAAAGCCTCATGCGTATGGCAGGGGAGGAGTCTTTTTAAAGCAGCTGAGTCTAGCATTTGTGATTGATTGGTTGTCTAGCACTAGGATTGGTGGTATAAGTGCTGCATCTGTGCAGGGGCAGGTAGCCAGCATGCAATATAAGGGATAGAAAGTGGCTTGCTGTCCCTTTTTCTCTTGTCACATTTGGTACCTGCTGCTGCCATGAATGAGTGCTCCTGTGCCATAGCACCCTCCCTTGGAGCCAGCTGAGTATGGACTGAATCCTGAAAAAAATCCTGTAAGCTAAATGAACCTTTTCTTTTTTCATTTTGGTCATCAGGTGTTTTGTCTCAGCTACGAGAGAAAAGTAACCAAAACAAAGTTCAAGGGCATTAAAACAGTTATAACTATATTCTGTGTCTAAAAAGAGAAGAAGAGATACGAATGATTTTTAAAATATCAAAATCAAACTTATATAGTTCACAAATAACATGGGTGAAATTAACAACATATTAGGACTTATAAAAGAAAAATAGGTAAATTTGAAGACACCCCCACTTCAATAAAACAAGGAAGACATTTAAAGCATCACTGAGCAGAAACACAACTTCTATTTATCTAATCTGAATGTAATCAAGGATCTCAAGGAAAGAAAAAAAGTAGGCCAAAAATTGAATAATAGCTAAAAACTTTCCAAATTTTGTGAAAAAAAATGAGCATAAATCTAAGAATCTTAATAAAGTACAAGAATTATGAAGAAAAGCTATCTAAAGTTGCATCATAACCAAATTGCTCAAACCAGTGATTAGAAACAAAACAAAACAAAGCAAACACCAAACAAAACAATACACTATGATTCATACAGGGGAAAATTGTTAAGAATGATAGCAGAATTCTCTTTTAAAAAATGCAAAGGAGAAGCTAGCACAGCAATATCTTTAGAGTACTCAAAGAAAATATCAAATAAAAACCCAGTTAACTTAGATCTGTATACTGAAGAAAAAATATCTTTCAAAAACGAAATTTAATTTCAGAAATATAAAAGCAGATCGGCAGATCTGCATATGAGAAATGATAGTCTTATAGAAAAAAAAGTAAAATGATAATAGCTTGAAAGCAAATGGAAATATGTGTATCTACAAAGGAATGCAAAGTCCTGGAAATGGTAAGAAATGAGAAAATATTCACTGTGCTTTTCTTGGTATTTAAATTTTTTGAAAGCATAATTGTTTCAACAAAAATAACTCTGTGGTGTGGGTTTTATGAAATACATGTAAGAAAAATACTTGACAAATATAGCGTAAAGGCAGGGAGGGGAAATCAATACAGATTTCCCACTCTCTAAATGACATGAAATAGCAGAATTTTATTTAGAATGTGATAAGCTAAAGATGTGCTTCAAATTTAAAGCAGCCACTAAAAATATTCATTGTTAATAAGACAATGGGAGATAAAAATATAAGCATATTAGTCCAGAATAAATAAAAAGGTAGAAATAAAGGCCATAAAGAATATGGAAGGAGCAAAAACACAAACATGGTATATTTTATCGATATCAAGTACATTAAATAAAAGGATTACAGGAAA